ACATACTTTTTTGTCCACAAAGGTAGGGTCAAACAAAACGAACAGAGAAGAAAATGAGGAAGAGGAACCTACTGAGCTTCCACCGGATGTGATTAGCCAAATGGTGAATAATAAACATGGAGAAATTGCTGTAAGATAACAAATTTAATCTAATACGAATGCAAATATGTCCGAAGTTGTACGAATATGAGGATTAATTGCATTTATTTTTTTATATTCAAGTTCATCTAGCCACTCTATATACGAAAGCGGCAACTGCTGAGCGGATAGCTGAGCGGATAGCAATCAAGTGTCAACAAAGTGTAATGAATATATCCAGTATCCTTTGCTTGCATCGTAGTGCCATGCCATCATATTTCCAGGCAGCCGTTTGATCCACAAGAAAATGGACAAAAAAGCGAATGATCGATGATGAGAAAGCAAAGGTTGTTATAGATTCTGACACGGACAAATTTGAATATGAAAACAACCAAGACGAGACATGTGTTGGGGATAGGAATGAGGATTTTGGTGAAAATGAGGCAAGTGAAACCCGAAGATAAAGAAGGAAAAGATGATGCCAAGGTAATTGCAGAAGTTCATTGCTTGGATGCAGGTTTAACTTCACCATCAGGAGCTGCAGTAGAGCAACATTTGCTATGTGCTGCAACACAATGGAAGGGTCGGTCTAGATATAAAAAAAAAGAGTGCGAAGGCAAGTTATATATGTTGTAACTAAAATTCTGCTTTCATTTGTTATTGCACTTTGTAAATGATATAAAAATTGATCATTACAAAAACATTTGCTATTCTTGACTTAATATAGATGCGGAAGATGGCCGAATACACAAGACATTGCGGACGACAAGGCACAACACCCCCATCAAGTCTACTGATTATCAGCTCCAAATCCAGGCTACTTTGACACAATGCAGCCGGAAGATTGCGAATTTCATATGGCAAGACACAGGAGATGAGAGGTAAAATCTTTTTTTATGCGATAATATTCAGAGTAATATGCTATTTTTATTCATATTCATTTATAATTGAACTTAACATTGTTGACCCAATGTTCTATGTAGTGAGATATTAGTGTCTATGTTCGGATTTAGCCTTAACCGAAGAGATATGCAATCCTTGCGGGAGAAGCATTGGGTATCAGATAGCGTAAGCCACGAGAAAAGAAAAATTATTTTATTTGACTAAGTTAACTGCTGTAGTTGTGGAGATAGTCTCACCTTTTGAAATGCTAAAATATTTTATTGTTATACTCACACCTCTTTTAGATCGTTGATATGTATGCAAGGTTATTGAATAATGATGTGAGTAAAAGACTGATGGAGGTTAAGCGATACATTGTCGAGCCATGTGTTTTTATAAGTATAATGACCAACTTTTTTTTACCACCAACTAACACCATGCATATACAGTTTCACTTATTGTTAGTTTATTAGAAAATTTGATTCCAATGTTTATTAAATAATATGAATTGCTCGTGCAATTTCTAACTATCGTATGACTTTCGATCCAATTTCATTGATTTGTTGGGCAGGCTGCCATTCAAGGTGTAGACCGATTTGAGAAAAAGTCTGATGATGTCCTATATTCGAAACTGAACAAGTGGTTCAAAATAAAAGCAGATAATGCATCAAGTCTAGCAAATGCCGATATGGTGATCAATCTCTTATAACTGCTGGATCAAATACCTTTTATTTTATATCAAATATGTTGCATTTGTAAAGTCTAACACATTATATTTTCAGATACTGGTTCCAGTGGTGAACAAAAGTCACTGATTTGTATACTCATTTGATATTGCACAAAGCAGTGTTCATCTCCTTGACTCACAAGTTGATTCATCACGGGTTCGACAGACTAACATCTTACGACGACTGGTGAAATCTAAACACTATTTATACCTTGAATTTTTAATGCATCTATTTCATGGCTTTAAATTATATAACTAGTGAGAAAGTGTAATCAGAAAAATTATATTTTTATGTTGCAGAGGCAAACCTTGGGCTTAATAATGGCAAAACAATTTGATAAGTTGGTGGATTTCGAGAGATTTGTATTGCAAGTCGCAAATGTGCCTCAACAGTCTCCACACAATAGGTATATGTCCTGTAAATAAGAGTATTTATATTCTATCTTGAAATATAACTAAATACTAAGTTATATTATTAGGATGGTAAGGTAAAACTTGTATGTCCTACAATCTGGTTGTCACGACAATGTATACCTCGTGTTTCAACTATGATTGCGGTGTGTTCATAATGAAATTTCTGGAGCATTGGAATGGAAGATTAGGCATACGCATTATGGAGGTATATATATTATTTTGATTTATAGAAATTTTTTGGTAGCAATTATTTTTATGATGACTAATGTATAACATGTGGTGCTGATTATTTCAATGCTTGGATAGGATAACATGTGGAAGTATCGAGTGCAATATGTGTCTATGTTGGTTGCAACCGAGCATAACTAATGGGCCGAATCCATCCTTGAGTTGTTAAATATCCCTCCCCGACGAAAAAACCAGCTGTAATAAATGATTGACAAATATTTAGTAATTTATGAATTGTGTTGCGTAGAATTTTGTACTTGTGTTGTGTAGAATTATCTCATTTTGGAATTACTGTTGGGAGCAAAGTTCATTAGTTATGAAGTTTTTACTACTAGTGGGATATATAGAATTTTGTGTTGGGAGCAAAGTTCATTACTGTTGGGACATGCTTCACTTTTTGTTTGCGGCAGACAGGGTTGGGACACCACGATGAATATATAACTTCTTATAATCAATTGAATAGAAGTAAAAAGTGTAAAACTATTCTGCATTGATTGCAATTCTCAAACTACTATCTAATATAAAAGTAAAACAATCATTTTAGTATTACATTGTTCCAATCCAGTTCCAAAAGGGTCACAAGATACATCAGCTTAGCATACATATTCATGGAAGGCAATTAGCTTCTACCCATTTATATCGTAGGTAGTTGCACTTCTTTGTCGCTTAATTGCATAAGAGTCCTGCTCTTTGACCTTTCCACAGAGGCCACAATGGGGGTCTGACAATCATTGAAACAAGCAATAAATTATTTAAATCAAAAGTTCAGTGTTCATAAAAGCATACCCTACAATAGTCTTGTAACAAGGTTAGAATAGTTCTAAATAATAACTGTAAATAATGAGCTTTTTAAAGAATTACTGACCATTAAGAATTCGGTGAAACTTGTGTACTTTGTCTTGCTCACAGGATCGTTGGGAAGCAAAAGTGGGAGATTGTTACGATCTTGAATACGGATATTATGAGCTCTCAGTATTTGAGGAGTGATTCCAGCTTCACCGGGCTACCATTAAGTATTGTACTGAATAAGATATTGTAAATTTGTCCAAAATCTTGATTATCCACACAAGTACAATATCTGACTTACCATCCTACAAGACTGCATATCTGAGTGAATAACTGGAGATGATCCAAAATTTGATTCACTGAATGACTGTTATCACGAGTAGCACATTACATTAGTTGCAAAGTCATGCTAACACTGTGTATAACAGCAAACTAACAAATTTGTAAAAATTAAATACACATTGTGTTCAAAATTTAAGATGTTAGGTCGTACGAAAATTATGCTGCAAATGTGTACATAACATATAACAACGTGTTCAACTGAATTAACAATATGCAAACAAAAATCAACCGAAAGTAATCTAAACAAAAATCAAAATTCAGTACATACGTGACCATAAATGAATACATTGTAAAATTATACTACAAACTTATGGGCTACTATGAATATAACACATAACCAATGCATTAGATTGAAGTAACTATGCAATAGGTTTCAAATGATATGGTTTGTAGTGTACAAGATAAAATACACCATGTACTAGAATAATAACACGATGTTAAAACTAAACAACGGGTGATAAATAATTGTAACTTGTACGATTGAAAAAATAAATGTGAGCGAATAAATTAATAATGTGTAAAAAAATTTATCCAAATGTGTAATCATATGTCCAAATGGAATTATTCATATTTCAAAACAAAGTAACCAGCGGTACATGGTATCAATCAATGCGTACAACATATATATCAGTTTGTACACATAAAACAACAACATGTAAATGTTATTAAATGAAGAGATCTCCGTACTGTGTACCAACTAATATACACCGTGTATCAAAATAATAACACGATATCAAAACTAAACAACGGGTGATAAATAATTGTAACTTGTACGATTGAAAAAAATAAATGTGAGCAAATAAATTAATAATCTGTAAAAAATTTTATCCAAATGTGTAATCATGTGTCCAAATGGAATTGTTCATATTTCAAAACAAAGTAACCAGTGGTACATGGTATCAATCAATGCTGTAAAAATTTTTATCCAAATGTGTAATCATGTGTCCAAATGCAATAACGATATTTCAAAACAAAATAACCAGTGGTACATGGTATCAATCAATGCGTACAACATATATATCAGTTTGTACACATAAAACAACAACATGTAAATGCTATTAAATTAAGAGATCGCTGTAATGTGTACCAACTAATATGTACAAGATATGATATTACTGTGTCAAAAATAAATAACATGTGATGAATATCCTATCACTAATATGTACACCTTAATAACCAATGTATACAAGTAAAACATTAATTTGTAACACCTAAATAACTAACAGTGAATTATAATGCACATTATGTAAAGTATAAAAATAACTACTTACTGCCACAGAATTATTCGATGACAAACATTTGCTTGATGTTTGGCTTTGGATAGGTTGATAGGAATCTGATGACTGACAAGAGAAGAATATACAACAACTCAGTCGGCTTATGATAGTAGAGTCAATTGAAATGATATAGTTATGTAAGTCCAAAAATAAGATTCGATACTAACCATCTCAGGAGTGCTTGCCTCAGACAATCTAGAGTTCTTCTTTTGCCTATGAAACCTGTCCACCCAACTACGCAATACTTTCTTAGTTTTTCTGCCACTTCATTTTTTCAAACCCGTTGGAGTCACAAAGTGGCCAGTTGCATTCTGCACATGTATTTCCTTACATAGATCCATTGATGCACTATTCTGTGTTATTTCATCTATTTCTCCACAAAATAGCATTTCGACTCTCTTTGACAATTCAGACATTACGCTACTGACTAACTTTGTAGCGGCTTCTAACATGGCAGCCCTGGTAGCAAGTCTTACTATTTCGGGTGCTAATAGCCTATATCGATGGAAAATAGAGAGAGACGAATCTAATAATATTTCTCTACCCTTGCAATTGACGCTGCCTCCGGACCTTGCATTCTTTGTCCATCTCTTTGTCACATATTGATCAAGAATAAACTTTGTTCCAACCATATCATACACCTTTAAAGCATTTGAGCATAGGATTCCTTCCTGCTCAAAAAGATTACAACTACAAGTAATGTCTTTAGTTATTAGATTCAATATCACTCTTCTCTCCCTTCCTCCATCATAGTGACTGACACTGTATTCCACATGCATTGTAGTATGCTTTTGGTCCAAGATTACCATTGTAGTGGATTCATCGTATTCATTCTGGAATGCAACAAACATGCATGGAGACTATATAGAAGCTGCCTGGATCAGTACGGGAGTCTGTTGCAATCCCAACATTGGCAGCTTCTATCGACTGTGATACTCAACTCTTAGTTCATTATATATTTTTTCATCAACAACTCGGTTAAAATGTTTGAAGAATTGAATCAGATCATGATCAAATTTCAGATAATTTTTTATGGAAGCATTTAGACTCTCAATTAGTTGGGTGCTATGCATACCTGCAGTCCAGGCACCTTTCATGAAGCATTTTGCCCATTTCTTTCGACATGCATAAATGCCACACAACCATTCATTTGTTTCGAGATTGTGTTCTTTTAGCATTGCATCCCAGGTCATGATAAATTTATTTTCATCTTCTATCTCATACATACATTCAGCAAATCTATATGGGAGATTACTACCATCCTTGTAATAGTTCCCAAGGTGTTTCATGAAATTGACTCTAATATGAAAAGTGCATAGACCATGGTATGTTGAAGGCATAACAGCTGAAATTGCAGTGGCCATGGCTGCATCCTGATCTGTGAAGATGGTTTTTGGGTGCCTTCCACAAACTACCTCTACAAATGTACCGAACACTCACTTGAATGATTCAATGGTTTCATCATACAATAGAGTTGCTCCAAAAATAACCAATTGTCTAAATTGATTGAATCCCACAAATACGTCCAATGGTCTGTACTCCTTGTTAGTTTTATATATGGTGTCAAATGTAACCACATCTCCAAAATAGGTATAATCCATTAGCATTGATGCATCAATCCAAAATATATTTGTAATTTGTTCTTCACAATCAAGCTGCTCTGCATGGAAGAATGACGGATTTTCCAATTTTTGTTCTTCAAAGTATCGTAGCATTGCACCAGTTTCACCATACTTTAATCCCCTCTCTCTTTTTGTTCGTAGATAGCATTTTAAGTCATCACGAGTGTAGCCAATATTTCCTAATCCACCTGCCTCTTTTCCCATGATTGTTTCAAGAATATTCCTGCATCATTTGCAATCTCAGCTTGGGTTCCTTGCGAAATACTTACTTTTCTTTGCGAACGCATCATATGAGCACATTCTGAAATGTGTAGTGTGTGATTATGCTCAATTACCAGATCTCGAACCTGATACTTCATTGTTTCTCTGTTCAAAATATCCCCATTTTAGCTTCACATCCGATTTTTGTTTCAGCCCGAGTTCTCTTTGGTTTTACATCTCCTTCGTACCGTGGTTTGAAACCTTCTTTGCAACTTGTGTACCTTTTCGATGTAACTACACCATCATTATCCTTGTTCAAGTAGTCTTTTCGAACACTGAACCCAACAACTAATTCGTACTTATTGTAGAAGTTGTATGCCTCATCTTCTGACTGAAACTCCATGCCAATCTTAGGACACAATGCTTCCTCCATTGTGCTGTATTCGACAAAAGCATTTTTTGCTATTGTTTTTTAAGACAAACAATTATATTTATTTTTTATTTCTTTATTCACATCATAAGCACTTAATTATTTGTATTTAGATATGTACATACTTTATAATGACGCGTACACACCTTACAACATTTTGTAAAATAATTTTTATGGATGTGTATCTTCTCTGTAATAGGTAATCACATAACTCTAATAATTTGCATAGCATATTTCACAATATAATATATACATTTCAAACAAATATTATAACCAATTTGTGTATAATATCAGTATTTACATACTTTACAATTATATGTACACACTTTATAACAATGTGTACACCCTTTATATCAACTTAACATAACAAATGCATGTATGCCTCATACACTTTTACATTGCGTAAGGTTTGACAAAATTCTCAAAATCTATACATTGTCATCTATACCGTTTGTGTAGTTATTTAAGTTGGTCACATTGTTAAGTTATTTTTACGCTTATGTTATTTTATTTGTACACATCCTCATTTATATTTTGAAATTCTGTACAGGATCTTTATTGTACAAGTTAACCATTCTCTCTAAAAGGATAATGACATACTTCTTATAATTTTTAAATCATGCTTCACTAAATAACACATTTATTACAATCAAATTACATATAATATTAGCGTTTTACCTTGGACAGAGTTCACCATGCAGTAAATTTCATATGGGCCGCTCACAAGTCTCTGCTATGCATTTATTACTCGATGAATATCTATCTCAGTCATCCACTAGTTAAATCGGCGTGTATTGTTGCTGCAGCGGATCTTCACAATTATCTTGTGCACACCTCAGACAAGATGCCCATTTTGATAGGGTTTATTTAAGAGTTGGAAGAGAAGAAGACAAAAATTTATGTCTATGTTATGCGAAATAATTTGTTGAGAGGAGAAGAACAGAAGGACCTACAGCGACAATGTATTGTGTTCAGAGAAAATCCACTACCGCCATTTTCTTCCCACATCTTTTAAGTTGAAAGAGTTTTAAAGCCCGCCAATCGTACCAAAAGTTGATTTTCAAATTTTGATTTTGAATTTTTCATACCCTTAACGGCAGACCAAACGGAGTTAAAAGTTAAGCTTGTATTAAAGCAACAATCCTCTACACTCATCTCCATTTTGTTCGATTTCGTTTTGGCCATTGATGATGGGCCCACCACATCTTGGCCATGAAAAGTTTATGAGCGGTTGTCTGACAACCGCTCTAGCCCCTCGTCCAGCATCAACTTGAACATTTGGACATATATATATACATATATATAATCAAGTTCTTGTTGCTGACAGCACATTTTCAGTTTGTATATATGCATAATGGGAAGGGACAGATTATAAATTGGTATGTGAGGTCAGAATGTATTATAAATTTCAATAAAATCCTTTCAGTAAAAGCTAGTGATTGTTAAGACAAGAGAAAGTAACAATTCCAGTGTTATATCAGTCAAATGAAGAAGTATATAATATAGATTAGCCCACAAAAATGTCATCTAATTAATTTCTTTGATCTGTCATTTTGATCAGTTTAAACAATTAATCACTTAAAAGATGGAACAGTGACGAAAAACCTTAGGAAAAATTACTTTCTTTAGACTTCTGAAAATAACGAAAATTAAAGTGTGTACATGAAAACATTTAAAGAAGAAAGGCACAAATAAAGCTAGCATATTCCCACATGTTTTCAGATATATATATATATATATATATATATATATATATATATATATATGTTGACATGATATACAAAGCTGTTTCTAGATCTCAATGCCAGTGAAACCTTCTTTATAGCCACAGTTTCTCCAGTTTCCAGACATTTTGCTTGGTATGCCAGTGAAACATGGGTTCCATATACAACACAAGTACTAAAGCAAAATTTACAATTTTGTTCCTATGCCCTCTCTCTATCTAAAAGTTACAGAATCTAGATTTTTTTCTTTTTTGGTGTCTCCAAATTTTGCTCCTATGCTATTTCTCTATTGAAAAGTTACAGAATCTAGATTTTTTTTTTCTTTTTTGGTGTCTCCATTTAATTTTCATTGCAAAAAAGTTATTGTATGTTTTAACATATCTATCAATTGGGTGTATGGTTCTTTATTGAGGATAAACAGAAGCAAGTTACACTTATTTGTCTTACTCTTATCTGTGATACATAAAAGGAACGGAAACGTTTATTTCGCATTACATCAATCTTAGCTGGTTTTAACTTATAAGCATCACATCAATCTTAGCTGCATCAAAGAAGATTTAACAAAGTGGGATGATGATATACAAGCATATTGAACCTCGAACTAAAAAAAAAAAAAACATGAAGAACATTATAGAAACAGACTACGGATGGATAATATTATCCATTGCTATTCTTGCCACTGCAATCACAAATTTATATAGCTGCAGCAGGTTCAGAAAAAAGAGTTGAAAAGGTCCTGAAATTTCTTCAAGAAGCAAGTCAAAGTCTTTTGTATTACTGGAATACATGAAATGAAGATAAAAGTGAATCTAGCATACATGCTTGTTGTCTGCAGGTTTTATGGATCATTTCAATCCGAAGCAGCATTGAAGAAGATTTCAAAAATTGGGTTCATTAACACTAATAAACATCAAACCAGAAGAAAATGGAGAACATTTTACAAGCACATTATGATGGATACTGTTGGACTGATAGAATTCATGACTGTGCTTGCCCCTGCAATGACAAAGTAATACAGCTGCATCAAGTTCAAACCAAATAATCTGGAAGCTCCAGAAATCGCTTAAATACACATGAATTATTATATCATCAAACTGATACAATGTATGCACAGATAAAGAAGAGACCTGAGGAATTATATCTAACCGGACAAGTGGAATGATCACACCAAATGGAGAAGAGACAATGAATGCTTCAATCTTCACCATTGTCTGGTGTGATGAGAAGAAAAAGGCTCTCCTTCAGAGGAAACCAGCAGTGGAAGAAGGAATAATTGCAGTACCAGAGCAGTTGACTGGAAAGGTATACAGATTACCCAACAAAAAAGGTCATCTAGCTTTTCTGGTTTGTCACTTTGATGAGTTCGAGCAATGAGCCACTTAAAATGGAAGATAAAACATGAAACTGCACAAAAAAAGTTTTAAGAAAAATTGCTTCCTCTTGACTTCCGAAAATATGGCTTAGTGAAGAATAAAAATGTTTGTGCTTCAGCATATTTTAGTGAAGGAAGATGCATGTTTTTAGATATTTAAAGCTATTCCTAGATCTCATGTCACTGAAACATGCGCTCATATGACAATGTATGCAAATTATAAAGGTCCTATGGCCTTTCTGTTTAAAAGTAACACAAAACTGTTTTGCGTCTCTACTTAATATCTGTTGCAAAACCGCTATTGTATGTTTCAACACATCAATCGAGTTAAGGTTTTTTATTGAGGAAAAATAGAAGCAACTTACACTTGTCTGTGTTACTCTTATCTAGATACATAAACTGGGAACAGAAAAGTGTATCTATGCATGGAAGAAGATTTCACAAATTGGGATTATAAATACATAAATGAACATTATTCAACATTGAAACAGACTGTGCTAGCTAATGCATGACTGTGTTTGCCACTGCAATAGGAAAGTTACATAGCAGCATTAGGTCCAAACAGAAGAATTTGGAAGCCTCCAGAAATTGCTTTGAGATATAAATGAATTACTATAGCATTGAACTGATTAAACATATAAAGAGATGAAAAATCAATTACGATCTTTAGACCCATTCTTTGGAGAGAATGGGTGTATCATCATAACAATCTTCAATTATGGTCTTTAGATCCTTATTTCCCATATCCATCTGTTCTTGCTGAATTTGCTTTACAGAATCCGCAACAGACTCACGGCACCATTTCACCTCAATCATTTCAAGAGTCTCACATTCCCCTAAACAAGAAGGGACCTCTTCTAGCTTCCTACACTGGTGCACAGCCAATTTCTCAAGACGGAAAAAATTATCAGAAGATGCAGTCCAGCTGCCAATGTCCAACCATAATAATTCCAAGACTCGGAGGTTAGGGAACTCCCCTTCTCTCATTACCCATTCTTCCCCAATAAAGGAGGAATCGTGTAATTTAAGCACTTCAAGATTAGGCAACTTTCCAATTGTCGAAATTTCACTCCATGGCTGACCATTCTTTGAGAGAGTCAACTTCTTCAAATTCAACGGGAATTTAAACCCATATCCCTGAAAACCAATCAAATGAAGTGACTCTAGTTGACTCAAACAGTCAAACACAAGAATCTCATCACAATTTCTGGTAGCTTCTCTTGATTCGTCATCGATTGATTCGTCATCTCTCATACATTTTAGCCTGCGGATGCTTGGTAATTTTTTCAGTAACTTTTGCAAGTTTTGAGACAAGGGATCAATTGCAAGGTTTAACGTGTCCAAATGATCTAAATCTGGGGCTACTTCAAGATTTCCAACTGCAAAAACAAAACCTCTTTTCCAATATATAGTACGTAGATAACTCAATGTCCTAATGTTCCAAATAGTATTTGGCAGCACAATATTACTCTCTGGATGCTTTATGATGAGAGTTTCTAACCTTGAGAGGTTGGCTATTGCAGATGTGATTGATGTTATTCCACAGAGAGCCAGGTATCTCAAGTGAACAAGCAATAAAACTTCCATTGGAAATGATTCACCAGAGCCCCAATCCCCCAAATCCAACACTCTAAGAAGCTTAGGTAACAAAATCCTCGAAGGCTTCTCTTCACAGTCAAAAGCATCATATCCAAACAACAGCAAACAGCGTAAATTGGGAAAAACTATCACTAACTCCCAAGTCTTCAATTCCCAGCTACTTTGAACACAAACTCGGTGGTGGCTGCTTGGTTCAGCAAGACTAAAAGGGTCTTCCCAACTTTGAATAATACGTAGAAAACTTTCTTCTTTGGCTTTTTCCACACAAAACTCGTGTACCAAATCATGAAGTTGGCAGGCTTTGGCACCACTCGTAGTTCTTTGGTCGGTAACCATAACTAAACTTCGATTAATTAGAGCCATCAAGTAGTTGTAAGCTGCTTCCTCCAAGCTCTTTTCTTCAGTCTGTTGCACGAATCCTTTAGAGATCCAAAGCCATAACAACCTTCGGACATGAATGACCTCATCTTCTCGAAATGCACCAAAGTATAGAAGGCATGGCTTCAAATAATCTGGTAAGTGATAATAACTCAACTCAAGCGTCTTCATGCAATATTCATTGTCAAGGACAGTAGAACTAAGACTTTTTGCAACTTCTTCCCAGCTATCTTGTGCAGTGGTAGCAAGAATTCCAGCAACAAGGACAATTGTAAGGGGTAACCCCCTACAAGTTTTTGCTATTTGAGATCCAACTTCACTTAATGTTGGAGGACAACCTCCTTCGTCAGATAGCTTTTTCTGCAGCAATGTCCAACTCTCTTCATCCGTAAGTTGGCGGAGATAGTAAGGCTCAATATTAGGTTTGAATTTTGAAGACAAATTCTGCAATCTGCTGGTGAAGAGAATCCTGCTTCCATTGACATCATTTGGCAATGATTTTACCAACAAATTCCATGCCTCAATGTCCCACAAGTCGTCCAAAACAAGGAGATACCTATTTCTCAGCAAAACTTGCTTTAGCTCCTTGGCCAAATCATCTTCATCCTTCTTATGATATTTTTCAGGACTCTCAGAAGAAATACTACACAAAAGCTGAACTAATAAACTACGCATGCTATACATTTGAGAGACATAACACCAGCCACACACATGAAAATGTGACGTAACTGAATCAGCAACATAAACTTTATTGGCTAATGTGGTCTTACCAATCCCAGGCATACCTACAATGGGAACAAAATCCAACTGCTTTGATCCACTCCTAAGTCGATCAATGATAGATTTCACCTTGTCATCGAGACCCACCAGATCTTCATTGTGAATGGTGGCAATAAGTTGTGATGGTATGTGAATGGACGTCTTGTTAACTCCCTGGATTTGACCATTTTGGATCTCCAAAGCCTCAATCTTCAGAAGATTGATATCTCTAGCAACAGCATCCAAAGAATCTTCACATTTATCACTAACTAGTGTTGAGTCAATCAATAACTCAGCCTTGTATGCAGCCTCCATAACATGACTCCAAAAAGCTTGGAGCTTTCCATTCTGATAGCGCTGCTCCTTGATATTCACCAGGACATGTCTCAAGAATTCAAGATCTTTTTCGATCCTTTGGATTCTATCCTGTAGAAAAACAATTGAATCATTAGCCTCATCACACCTTGCTAGTTCCTTGAGATTTTTTAGGAAAAAATCCATACAGCCCAACTCATTGGATCTAGGATAATTAAATGATGAATGTGGCGATGTTAGTGGATAATTGTGCGCAAGCTCTGCCATCATATACTTGAGAACTTTGTACAAATGAAACAACACAAGATCTGTTTCCTTGGAAAAGCCTTCTTTGATTTCGTTGACAGAAAGGGAGAAGATCAGAGTTCCTGCATCATGGACCACAACTCCAATAAGATCCTTAATTTCATCGCCTAGTTTCTTCTCCTGTTCAAGAAGGATACTCAAGTATTTTACTCCTTGATGGAGTTTTAGCATTTGATCCTTTACCAGAACCTGAAAACTAGCACAATATCCTAGAAGATCCGTAAGATAATCTAGGAGAGAATCAATAAGTTCGACTAGCACTCGATTGTTTCTTTGAAGCTATCAGGACATGCATGCAAGTTTCTCGGACTTGGGGACCAAGAGGATCTATATTCTCATCCATCAGGTCATAAATTTCATAGTCCGTTTGACTGGGCACTTGTTCTTCATCACTGTCAAAGCAACATTCAAAAATCGCGCATTCAACCACAACTGCAGCGTGAGTCAAGAGATCTGCCAATTGCATACACTCAACACCTCGCATTATTGCAAAGCGAATGAGACTCCTTAAAAGCTTTAGCTCGTGTCTTATAGTATCCCCTAACTCAATTAAAGGATGCCGTAGAGCCTCCAAAAGGGATAGTCAAAGAAGATGGTGCATGATATCTGTCTTAAGAAATGACCAAATATTTTCCGAGGATCTGGATGTTGCAACTAATACTATTTGCTTTCTATCTGACTCATCAGAACCTTCGTATAAAAGATAAGCAGACTGAAGATCATGAACCATCTTAATAACCATATCTTGAATTCTGAAGCAAATAGTACTATGTGACAAACTTTCAGACAAAATATTGCCCGTGTCTTCCTGATCATGCTCTAAAAGTGCTTTACCCTTGTCCTCCTGATCATACTCCAAAATCCTTTTACCCATGCCCTCCTGATCATGCTCCAAAAGTGCTTCACGGTTCCTTATCCTCCTACACTTCTTGACATACAGAAAAAAGGTTTTCAAGAATCTTATGTTTTCCTTCAGATCCGTGATATCGAAGAGCCGGAAATCGACGGACTTCTCAAGCTTGCATAGAAAATCTAAAGCAAGATCAAAGCAACTAGTGCCAGTGCTGGAGGACATGTGATGCGACCGCAGATAGTCAACTAAAGCAAAATCAAAGAAACTGGTGTTACTGCTGCAGGGAATCTCCATTATTGTATCTTCTTTTCCCTCTGGTATCAGACTTCTACCTGGTTTAGCCACTGAATAAAATTAGTTCAGGATCTACACTTTCTCATCTAACAAAATAGCCAACAAACAACAGGCAGGACCTTTTTTAAAACTTTTTGTGTTAATATTGTGAGACGCTATTTTGTTCATAGAAGATATCGTGCAGCAGAAGTAATAAAAAGTTAAATAAGTGCGACTACACTTCCCCAGCTACCTTAGTGGTGCCAAAAGAAGACCAAGATCAACAGATAAGTTACAATAAGGTACTGATCGATATAGTCCTTTGTTAGTGGCCACGTGTGTACCAATTTGGTCGCTTACTTTTTTTATGACCAAATTGAATTTTGCAGTCACGGTTCCTTCTCCTCCAACATATTTTCAAGCTCAATTTTGCAGTCACATGACCAGTGAGATTACGACATTCATGTAATGGTTTCTGCATTAACTATTCTGAATAATTAATTATCTCTCATCAATTGTATGACAAATTATTATGTAAGACAAATTATTACACTTAATATAGATAGATTAGAGTTTTTTGAAGTTTAACAACTGAATGGACACATTTAAGTTGTGCTTTTAGCCTTTTACAATAATACTTAGTTCCACTTGGGCCGCATTCTTTGATTGTATACTCCCTTTGTCCCATAAAGATAGATCTATTTCTTCCCTCACGCAGATTAAAAAATTTAGTTATTGTAGTTATAACAATTATTTTTTGTTCATGCTTTCCTCAAATACCCCTTATTAATATTAGATCATTTGTTCAAAGTAAAAGGCATGTATTACTATATTGTTTTTGGAATTTAGAGCACTTTAGTTCTTAATGCAAGAGTCAATCTAATTTATGTTACATGTTTAACTAAAATGAATAACAAAAATAAAATTGACAAACAATCAAACATTTTAATTTGGAGCCATTAGAAGGCAACAAATATATTCTAAAATCGATAATAATAATGTACATTAAATATGGGTATGTTAGTAAAATAACAAACTTACTACTCTTTAAAAAAGGAAATAGGCTTATAATTTGGGACAGGCACAAAGGAAAGTGAGCCTATTTTTATGGGATAGAGGGAGTATTAAATACTGAGTTTCTGTTCCAAACAAATACCAAGTTTTTCTCCTTCTCTTTTACTGTTTTTTTTTCCTTCAACTGCTTTAACAACTTATCTATTGCCTAGTTTTTCTTGGAATTCAAACTTTGACTTCCTCAATAAAATTCCGCCTTGATCTCCAAATATAATTGCTTAAATGTTGGAGAAATATTTATGATCTCTCCTGAAATTTGTCGTCTCTTTTATCAATTGAATTAGTTTATGCTTCTTTCCTTTTGCCTATGTGTAAAGGCACATAAGTTTCTGTTCTTTTTCTTTCACTTCTTTGTTGAATTTTATTTCATTTTTTTATAGCAGAACTGAAAAGATTCTCGAAATAAAGTCAGAAGGGACAAACAGAGCCAACGTAAAACAATTTGCATGTAGCACGAGATAATTCTTGGTTTGTTGAATAAATGCCTACTTTGGTTGTTGTACTTTATATAAATGAATTAAGGAAAAATTGTTCCAAACACCCTTCACATTTTGTTAAATGAATTTTTTTTGTCTTTTACTTTTAAAATGTTATTTTTACATCTTTAAAAAATTAAATTAGCAAAATTTAGTTCCAGTGGCAACTTTTGATTGCGGCCTTTGGAGGGGTCTAGGGGGGCGAAGGAAGGGAGGGGATGAGGAAGGAGGGTGAGGAGGAAGGAGGAGCCGAGGAGGGAGTAAAGAGGAGGAGAGAGGAGGCAAAGGAGAAAGGAAGCGGAGAGAGGGTTTGAAAGAGAAAGAGAGGAGAGAGAAGGGAGGTGGAGGTAGCGGGTGGTAGCGATGGGTGATGGTGGTGGTGGTGAGTGGTGTAAACTTTTAAAAATATGTAAAAATATTCCAAAATAATTTAAAAAAAAACCTCCTAAAAATATCTCTAAGAACACCCTAAAAAACATTTACACTAAAGTTATATATATATATACAGGTACAGTAAAAATTTTTGAAAAATACTCACAAAAATAACTAATTCAAATGGAACCTTTCTTTTTTTCGAAACAAATTCCTGAATCGTTAGTTAGCTAAAAAGAGATAAAGGAAAAAATGTTAGTAGCATGCAGAGCGTTGTAAACACTAAGGGAGTTTTCGTTTTCTCCCAATTCCAAATCTAATGTTTGGAGTGCAAATAGGCCTGTGGATTTAGAGTTGAATTACAATTGTATATGGCCCAGTTTAAACTATTTTTCTTGAGACCTTGAAAAATTAGAAAGTTTTCAAAATGTCATGTTCTCTATTTTATTAATCTTCTTGGGATTAAATAAGTTACATTGCACTGAACATCAGGATCACAAGCCTATATACTGTTAATGTTTTTTTTTTTTTAAATTTTTAACTTGGCAACTTCTCCAAATTTAAAAACTTGTTAATAAGACTGACAATTTTACTTCTTTTTTCATGTGAGATAATATGGGACAGCAAACCATCTAAATTTTTTTTCCTACATCCTACTTGTAAGATAAACACTGTGGAGGTGAAGAAACATATTAATTTCATGAAATGCGTTCACATAATTTCTGCAGTAATTTAAGAATACATGTATTCATATAAAAAATTGATTTATCTAACGCTGAGTCAAATAAAAAAGCTGCAATTTTCTCTTATTTCATCCTTAATTTCGTAGTGTTTCTTTCCATACTATGAGATTGGGAGGAAATTGCTTTATTGAACTGAAACTGTACGTCCAAGGCTTAAGTGAATATGCAAAAGAAATGTTATATATATTTCAACCATTAAGTGGAAGAATACATTCATCAGCCTTAGTATATACTAGCAGAAAAAAGTGTCAAGAACACATGGAAGCCATATATATTTCAACCAAGAATAATGTGTGAAAAAAAAAAGAAATAGAAATTCAGCACTTACTTTGGAGAGAATGAATTCTCTGGGAACAGGTGACCTGTTGAATCTGCAGAAATTCCATTTATATGGTGAAGCTACATTAAAAAAAAAAACTTTAACTTAAAAAAGAAAAAACATAATTCAGCACTCACTTGAGCGAAAGTGAAACCTCTGGCAATAGTGGGTGATCTTGTGAATACGCAAAAATTCCCAGTATATCATGCACCTACCCACACAACATCAAGTTTAAGAAAGAAAAAAGAACATTATGATGATTTCAACCAAAAAAAAAAGAATTCTTATATGCAAGATTTTTTGCACGTAAAATGGTAAACTAGGACATCCACAAGAGTGTAGTCCATTTTTTTGATCATCGTTTTATTATCCCTTTCTTTCATTATAGCATCACTCAGTATAGATTACACTCTACGTAGTATAATAGCATGAACCCACATCAAATCACACATTTATTTTAATAATCCACAATACATATCCCGTAAATAAATAAATTTATTTTCTAAAAAGTAATTTCATTATTTTTGAAAAATAATTTATTAACTATAGTGAAATTTTTACTTTTCAATTTTTTTTATTTTGGAAAAATAATATTATTAATTCATAAAAATAATACATATTTTTTTATCTCAAAATTAATACATCGTTATTTTCAAAAAAAATAATTAAGTAATCATTAAACAAATACCCAACACTTAAAATGTAAATAAATCATAATCATCATAACTCAATTAATAATGATGCTCTATTTAATTAATTTAACTCCATTACATAACTTAAATCAATTGAAGTAGAAGTAAGATTACATAATAAATATTAATTTCATTATCATTGCCTTCGAACCACTCCCAAATATTACTGTTGCCATAATGGAATAGGAGGGTGAGAAATTGAAAAAATATTAACAAAATTTATGGACAAAATTTTGAGGATTGAAATCAAGACAGATATTACCGTTGCAATGGTGCCATTATTTTGTTTTACCATTGCAAAATGGACCTTAAATCGTTTGAATAAAACGGACAAAAAGGGTAATATATTGAACATTGAAAGCTCTGAGTATGGGTCCCATGCTACTACTTTGAATAATTGGTCAAATTGACAAAATTTTGAGGATTGAAATCTAAAAAAATATTACCGTTGCAATGCTGCCATTATTTTGTTTTACCTTTGTAAATTGGACGAAACGGACAGTTGGAAAGCTTTTGAATAAAATGGACAAAATGGGTAATATTTTGACGGTTGAAAGCTTTGAGTATGGGTCCAGTAGCTTTTGAGCGCCTCTTTTGTGTGAACACTGGTTATACATGTAATACTCATTATACTCCCTTATGCGTTGAGTGTAATAGTCTATTACACCCTCTATTACACACCATCGTTGATACTCTTATAACAGACAAAGTAGTAGTAGCAACTAGTAAACAATAGATACCCCATTAAAACAATAGTCCCTCTGAGTTTAAAGCTTTCCAATCCTGAGCTACTTTGTTAAAACCGAAGGGTCACTTTTCGTGATCCATGGCTGCCATTACACAATTGTGTACAATTAAGTACAGAGATTTTTTTTTTTTCATTTCTTCCAGTTTCCAATTCTAGGTACACTTGATATGCACACGATATTAAGTTGGGAAAATATAAAATTATAACATAAAAAATAAACCCTTCTCTTTAAAAAAATAAAAAATTTTTTGAGAAGATAATATTAAGTCATTATAAAAAAGGAAAAAATTAAAATGATAACGTAATAAAAAAACCATTGTCTCTAAAAAAATTAAAAATTATAACATCAAAAACAAACTATTCTCTCTAGTAAGATGTGTATTAACCAGCACTAGTTTGGGGCACTAACACATCACTAAAAATTAACGAACTTTGTATTATTGGTAATAATATAGTATATTTTCCAAAAAAATAATGTTTAGGCCAGATTTATGAGTTATTTATAAAAAAAAAAAGAGGGAATTATTATGTTGACTTCATTTTCTCAAAAATTTTGAATTTTTTAGAAAGAATTATTTGTTTATGTTGACTAAACATTATGTGCATATCAAGTGTAGCTAAATAGCGTAAATTTGGAAGAAACTAAAGTGATACTCCAATTTTACTTTTGAAATCTATATCAGGTTATCATTTTAACACTAATTAGCTTTGCTTTTAGATTGTGAATAACAAATTTGTTTCATTTTAAAGGTGATGGACAAAAAAAGATTTTTACCAAAATGCAAGAGATGAAACAAGTCATTTTCCCTTGTATAATTTATACATCATACAACAAGACTTCTATAAATTAATACTTGATAAATTAATAATCTCTATTAAATAATAATTTTTCTCGGTTCCAACTTGGACTATGAGCTAAATTAATAATTCTGATAAAATAATAAGATAATAAAATTTTTTGAAAAAACTTATACAACTCTTTAGTCCCATTCATATTATAAATTAATAAATCACTGAAATTGCATATCATATATTCCTAAAATATGAGTTTATTATTGTTTTTTTCTTAAAATTTAAATCTACCTGAATCTCATCCTTAATTATTTTTTATTGCATCTAAAAGTTTTGGACTTGAATTCTCATATTGCAATGAGAAATTATGAAGAGTTATTGATATTTTGAGTGCTTCATTCCACGTAACAGACTCCAAAGCTACTATATCATCTTGAGCTTCATCATTAGCAAGAATTTCAGTGATGCTAGCAACAATTTCTTCTAAACTTGAGACCCATGAACTTGATTGGTTTATACTCCTTAGAATTTTAGTTTCCTTTTATTCATAGAATAATTCAAACTTTTATAAAATCAAATAAAACTTTAGTTGATTAAATGAGTGTTTCTTTAAATTGTAACTTTGTAAGTATGTTCAATAAATTAATAAATTATTAATTTATCAATTAATTAATACCTCTTTAAATTAATAGAATTTGTATAGTTTCAAAATTATTAATTTATAGAGGTTTTACCGTATTTTATGCATCGGACAAGTATTAAATTCTCCTAACCATTACTTGTTTGCATGTCTAAACCTTGGGATAAAAATACCTAAAACTTAGGGGTAAGAAAATAGAATAGCATAAGTTTGGGAGATTTAGTAAGTAAGGGTGTCAACTTTCAATGTGTTATGGTAACTTTTTTTATGTCCAAAAGTGTATTAAATAGCATTTGTTTGGGACAATTGAGTTGAGACCAATATAGTGATAATCTATTTTATTGGCTACATTATTACAAAAAAAGACATTAGTAAAATGAGCGGCCGGGCACTAGCTACTCATTTGGTCGAGAAGCATCCTGACAGATTATAAGGCGTTGGTAAATTATCGTAAATGTTTTTAGTTTTTTTTTTAAAAAAAAAAGTCAAACAGGATTCCAAGAAAAATAAGAAACCATCCATCCAGCTATTAGTAACAGATGTTTTCATTCTTTTTCTTTTTTTCTCCTCCTGTCTTCAAAAGCTAAATATATTTCAAAGAGTAACACTAATATGACGTATGGTCCTAGAGTATTACTAATTTCTTAATCGGCTAAATTGGGAAGATTGCAATCATTAATGAAAGAATAAAGAACTACAAGGATTCTTGCGTGCAATATTGAGTTGAAGACAGGAGACTTGCTGTGAAAAATGAAAATCAATCCTACAATTAAATTGATTATTCTTTAAATGTCTTTTTCATCCTTTGTGGCAAATGTATGTGAGATGAGTTAGTATGTGCATGTCATTACAATTAAATTGATGCAGTTCCATTAATTTGGCAGAGCAATGGAGAGATTATAGAATTGAAGTATTATGAGATTTTTATACAATTATCTAAATTTAAATTTGGCTTTTTTATTTTATCTAACTATTACTCTATCAAGGTGTTGAACTTCTTAAGAGTAATCTAAAATTGACTATTCTTTGGCTGAAAAAAGTTTCCCAAGTCATTATTATAGATATTTAGCAATGCATTTATCAAATTTCTCTACTGGATGCATTTATCAAATTTCCAAGTCAGAAAGCTAGAAAACGTACGAGGCACTGCAGTTTAAGCTTTCGTTTCTACGAGTTCTTATTAGATGCTCATGTAATTTGACTTATTCTATGCGAAAATCTAAAGGAGTTTCAATTGTAGAATTTCTGCTTGAATACCAATTTGTACGAAAAGGTAGTAAATTTATTTAGAGAAAAAATATTGCATCATCAACTAGTAGCCTCTAACTGAGAAGGAGCACTAAGGAAAAAAAAAGTTTAGAAGCTTTTTCTATAATTACTTTTACAGTTATATATTACTCACCCGGTCTGATTAAATATTTTTTACATCTATACTTTATCATGAATGTGAGGAATGGAGTGACACAAGGCCTTAATATATCTAGCACTGATTTATTCCATACCAAGAGCAAAATTAGCAGAGTTAGATAATCTTTTCCGACTTCAAAATGAATCAACTCAACCGATGATTCCTTTAACATACAGAAAATATAAACAGCAGGGGAAATGGAATAACTGATTAACTTATTCTGGTTCTTTTTTTTTCTTTTTTGATTTAAAAATACCTGTTGCTGATGAGCACCGTAATCAGCTCTGTTTGAAGAATTTGACTGCAGAAGCTCCGGCAACCGGCAGGAAGCAGCTTCGCCACCACCCTAACAAACCGCTTCTTACTTCACTCCTGTAGTTTAATCTCAGAAAATTTATCAAAATAAATGCAAATTTTCGTGGGATTTCTTTGAAAAATATACTACAACAATACAAGCAGATTTGTGAGAGTCACTACTGAAAGTCATAGACGAGATAGTTCACAGTAGCAGGCCTTCACTTTCTTGCCCACAAAACGAAAAAACAGACAGGTTGTTTTGTGAAGAATATTATGCTTTTCACTGTTCTTGCCCCACAATGATGCTCTCCTTTAGTCTTTTGTTTTTCAACAAGCCTTTGTCGCGTCCATTACCGCGGAAGCATGAGGCGTTCTGTGGGCCTCAGTAATAATTAGTGCTATTTGGGCAGGACCTTCACAATATTAAAGGTTTTTTCAATTTCTTATTTAGAAAACACAATTGAAAGTTATAATAATATCTCCACCATGATTTTTTTTTTGGCAAAGGATTATAACAACACCACATACGCTGAAAGTTATATATATAACTTTCTCAGTCATTACTTTTAAATATGTTAAATACTCACCAATGTATGGAAATAAGAGATAAGAAGAAATGACAACAAAAGACTTAGAAATTTTAGTGGGCTCATAGCATTTGTAACATTCCTACTTTTTTGCAACTGTGCATGATACTTCTTTTAGTTTGGACTATTGAACTTGTTTACTTTAGTAACCTTTTTTTTTTTTGCTTGATTGGTGGCAATTGGCTCTCGCTTATGTGGAGTAGTAATCCGTTTTGGTTCTTTTCTTTTTGTCCTTTTTTTTGGGTTAAATGATTTGAGGGCTAATTTTTTTTTCATCTAGTCATAAAAAGGTTGATTTTGTTTTTTTTTTTTTTCCTTATGTGGAGTAGTAACCTGTTTTGGTTCTTTTTTCTATATATTTTTGGTTAAATGATTTAAGAGTTAATTTTTTTTCTTGCTGTCGGGGAGAGGGAGGGGGAGGGGGAGTGGGCAAGGTAAAGGGATAGAAGGGAGAGGGGGCGGCGGGGAAAGGGGGGAAGGAGGAGAATATGTGGGGAGGGAGGGAGGGAGGGAGGAGGAGGGGAAAGAGAGAGGATGAGAGGAAGAGAAATACGAAAAGAAAGAATAAAAAAAGATAAAATGGTGGGAAGAATGAGGTGCTGGCAACAATGCTAGTGGCGATTAAGGGAGGCGGAAGGAGAAGGACGAAGAAGAAGAAAGAAAGAAAGGACAAAAAAGAAAGAAAAATAGAAATATGAAAGTTTTTCACATAACATTCAAATACACAAAAGTTTTTATACAAATTCTATAATAAACTATATTAAAGTTTTATTCAAATTTCCGGAAAAACACATCATCCAAACGGACCCTATTTGCTATTTCTAGTGCCTCCTGAATTTTCTTTGAAACATTAATGTCTCGTCATTTTTGTAGTTTCTGATTTTTTTTAAAACTTGCTAGAGTGTTTATAGCTAATTATTATAAAGAGTTTAAAAAAAAAAAAAGGAAAGTCATAAGTATTGCGAAGGCAAAATGTCATGAAAATTTTTTCCTTTTACTCTAGCTTTCCTACATTTTGGATATGTCATATGTAATTGCAATTCATTTGCATGATACAATTGCCCTATAAGAAGATATAAACCACAACTTTAAGTTTCAAAACGTACATTAGTGCATCATACCTTGTTATTTTTTATGGGCATACACTGTCAGCTTGGTAACTTTGGCCTTTATTAGTCGTCAAGTCAACCCATAATGTTTTTTTTTTAAAAATATGATCCTTCCTGCATATGTAAAAGCTGATATGTCAGATATGATGTTGACGTTCTCGAATCCTTTTGGTGAAGTTAAGGCTTTGTTAAGCATTCAAGCTGAAGTTAAGAATTTGTTATCAGGGGCGCAGCAGTGTCTTGTGAAGGGTTTCACTCAGTTACATATTGAGATTGATTCTCTTGTTTTGATTAGTATTCTTTTGGGAAAGACCAATTCTCCATCGAGTATCTGCAGAGAGGTTGAAGAATTGCTTAAACTGAAGCATCATTTTGTTGTAGTGTCGCATATTTACAGGGAAGCCAATCAGGTAGAGGATTTCCTGTCGAAGTTGGGCCTAAATTATCTGGCTCAAGATTTTCTCATCCTCTGCTGATCTTCCTCGTATGATTCGGGGATCTTTGTCTTTGAGAAAAGTTAGGAATGTCTTCCATTAGGAGGCGATCTCAAAAATAGTTTTTATTTGTAGTAGGTTCAGTTTTTCCATTCATTTATTGAGTCTTGTTTTTCATGTAATGTTGGAGGTTTGGGCCTATATCTAGGCATGGCCACGGTTCCAGAACAGCCGGTTCTGGTTCTTTAAAGAGGTAGAACCAGAACGCATAGTTCTGATTTCAGTTCTTTATGGTTCTGGTTCTGGTTCCGGTTACGTATGGTTGTATACAATTTTATTTAATTTCTTATCCTTACCAATTTTAATATGAATATAACAATATATTTATATTTCAAATAAAATGTAAAAAAATAAATACAAAATAAAGATCATATTTTAATTTTATTATTATTCTAGAAAGTAAGAAGTAATAAATAGATAATATAAATTTTATGAAAAGTACATTACATTGTCAAATTAAAAATACATTACACTATCAAATAGTTGTCATGTGTTGACTTTCTTGAATTGGACAATCATCAATGTTGAAGATTCCATTTGAAGAAACATTGAAAAAAATATTTTTTTGCTTGCTTGATTTTGAAGATGAGCTACTACCATCAAAACTTGTCATTTGATAGCAAATAAGCAAAAAAAATTTGCAAGTAATAATTTAATACTTACAAATTATAATGATAGATATTAGATGAATAGAAAGAATTAAATAATTAATAAAATATATAGAAAGTCCATAAAATTTAAACTTTCTTAAAACCTATTAAACACAACTAATTTTTTTGAATTATCTCACTACTTATATTAATTATTTTTAATTATTTTTAACGGTTCTGGAACCGACGGTTCTGGTTCTATTTTTTAGAGAACCAGAACCGGAACCCTTATCCAAGGTTCTACCACGGTTCTGGTTCCATGGTTTTGGTTCCGGTTCTGGTCCGGTTCCAAACGGTCCAGTTCCGATCTGGTTGAACCATGGCCATGCCTACCTATATCCCGCTCCTTGGTACTTGATTTAATTTATTAATAAAATTTTAGGGGTGGCGTCTCTCCCGTGTACGGGGTTTGCCATAAAAAAATGTAAAAGTATAAAAAGTTAGCATGATGTATTGAAACTTGATGGCCAAGTACATAAAATTACTCACCCTTTTCTTAAAATAGTGATTTCCTATCGTTCACCTTTTGTTTCTTCAATGTTTTCACATTAACCATGATCAGTGTCATATTATGTTTCATTTTCTGAGTTGCCTTGCCTGGTGAGGGGTGATGTTAATCTTGATCGGTTAGGCGTTCCGAACATTCGTAGGAGTAGAGCTTCTTTAGCTTGTTAGGCAGTAGTTGGTTGCTGTCTCTCTTTGTACTCTTTTCAGTTCATAAATAAAGATTAAAGTGAAAAAAAAAAAAAATGTAACAATATTCAAGGATAAAAAAAAAAAGATCAGTGTCATATTAGAGGTTGAAGCAAAATATTATGCTTGATGTAACATTGATGATTGGTCTTATAAAATCTCTCAACTAATACGTAATAGTATTTGCGTCTTAAATGTGCTTCTGAGAATGGAAATATGCGTCGTCCTAGATTATTCTTTTTTTTTTTTGTTTATGCTTGAATTATGTCATTTTTTTCACATCAATATCATAATTTTTTTAACTCAAATTCATTTTGATTTATGTTGCAAAAATATTAAAAAGTATTTTTTGTAGATTTTCTTTATTCACTTGTCAAAATAATCTAGATTGCGTCAAGTAAACAACTGTCAATCCATGAAACACAACAGCAATTTTAATTGCCATATTAAGGATAGAAATGTGCTTAAGAAAAGGAAAAAAATGAGAAGTAAAGTAGCAAACTAAAGTGTGGAATTGAAGTGAAAAAACCATAAATAACCTTATTTGTTGTCTGGTGGATAGAGCGAGGAAACAGTTGGAAAACTGGAATGACAAAAAGAGGAAAGCTTGAGGAATGATCATAAGTGGATTTTTCACGTTGAATATTTTACAACATCAAGTGGTGAAGATCAACTAAGCAATCACAAGCTGCAATAATTTTTTTGAACTGTAAATCTGGCTAGTTAGCTATAAGACATACATACTATCAACATTAAATTCACGACAACTATGTAAAGTTAGATTTTAAATTTAAATTTTATATAGTTATCATTTATCCAATACTGATAGTATATACACTGTTTGTGTATCAAAAATCAATTAGTGCCCAATGGACTGTAGTTAAGAGGGGTCTCGTGTGTTAGTTTTTAAAAAAGGATTTTTAATTTGGAAAAGTGTTGACATGTAGATAATGGAATAATTGTGATTGTGTATATTTAGATAATAAGTTAGATGCAATTTAGGGGTCTAACTAGTGCTCATGCCTATTAGAAAAACTTATAGTCCAAACATCAAATTTCTATAACTTTCTAACAACAGCATCACATTGCCATCAAGACTCTTTTTTCATGTATACATATCCGGCGAGGCACTTTTTCTTTTTTGGGGCACGTGTGGTGCAATGTGGTAGCGATAAATATCACAAGACTTTATCAAAGAAAGACGTTGTTGAAGACCCCATATTATTGAGCTTTATCATTAGTTGCATTATTGGAGGGTCTAACTCTACTTTGCTGCATTATTGGAATAGTGATATTTTTTTAAAGGAGAATAGTGATATGTTTAAGTAGTTGTTGAGTTGAGACAATTAGAGAAGTTATCTATGCTATTGGCTGCATTATTGGTGGGATTAACTCCACTTGGTAAAATCAAACTTGTACTACTTTTCTACTTTGCATCGTAAATTTTAATTTTGGACATTTTGAACTTTAAACTCTTAATTTTGGATATTTTGCATACTAAACTCTTAAGTTTGTTCCATTTAAATCCAATCAATGACAACGTTAGTAGAATTAACAAGATAAAAACTGATGATAATATACCATTTTGATCTAGCTATGATCCCTTGACTCATTTTGACCATTTTCAACACATTACCATTGATTTTTATGATCCCAATTACTTATATCATTAACAAAATTAACAGATAAAGAATGGTGTAAACTAATGACAATGTATCGTTTTGTTCTAACAGTAATACCTTGACTCATTTTAATCAGTTTTAGAATATTATTATTGATTTATAGGGTCCTTTATAGCGTTAATTTTGTTAACATTGTTATTGATTGGATTTAAACGCTATAAATTTGATAATTTACGATACAAAGTGTTTAAAGTTTAGGATGTAAAGCATCCAAAATTAAATTTTGAGGTGTAAGGTGGAAAAGGGATACAAATTTGGGAGTGCCAAGTGGAGTTAGTCCTTATAGGAGAAAGTGGTGTTGATAGATGAGAAAGTGATGGAAAAAAGTCGGCAAAGCACGAGCTCTATGTTGAACAAGAAGCATCCTGATAAGGTATTAAGCTTCCGCCAGACTATGATTCTTATTACAAATTATCGTAAAATGTACTTCAAAATAAAAGTGTAATTGATTGAGTTCTATGGCTCTAACACATCACCTGAGAAAAAAAAAATATTGTATATACATTTTTCAAAATTTAGATTTTGGGCCAAATTTGTATTTTAGTGGTAATAGAGTTATAAGACAAAAAAAAAAAAAGAAGACGAGTTTATCACCAAAAGAAAAAAAAAAGTTAGGATAAAGTGAGAATTAAGGTATCTATATTAGGAGATTAGTTGTAAATTACCTTAAAATGATCATGTAGGTATTTTTCAAAATTTCTTGTTTTAATTGCCAAGAAATGTTGCGGTAAACTTACTAGGTCTCTAACAAATAACTAAAATTTGATCAAGTTACTAAATCGAGCTTAAATTTATAACTATTTGGTTCAGCAAGGCCGCAATAATTTGTATGTTTAATTGATAAAAGTATTTGAGAACGTACATTGCACATCGGTGGCGTGTTTTTGCTGAGAGATTTTGTAAATTAAGTGAATCTATAATTGAAAAGTAAAGAAATGTTGTACAGTAACAATGTAATATGATAAGTGAACTAATCCTTTTTAGGTTCTTGGAACTGAAACTTAAAAGCATTCGGAAAAAGAAAAACCAAAATTGACATTACCAGCATGTAGTAAACGAATGTTATAATGTTGTACAACCTTTTTGTTATACTATCTATTTGATTGACATATGTACTATGCAATAATAAATAATAATTCAAGTTTTAAAATCTCGCTCTTGATCTGATACTTGTCACTTTAAGAAGTTGCGTAACAAACTGTGACATAGAACTGCATAACAGAAGACCTCAAGCTTTATATTGCCAAGACAAGACTTGGTAAAGTAATTAATTACCTCTTAAAAGAGCTAGTTACGCTATGTGATGCTTTCATAGTGGTCCATGAAGACTTTGTAAGTTTGTGGACCGCATCTATACATCCGTACGTAAAGTAATCTGTAAATGCCAAAATTATTACTAAAACCTAAATTTCTTCAAATTTTTATATTCTTTCTTAATTGTTTTTTTTATAGATAATATCCTATTTTGTTAATTTTATAACTTTCTTTTTATCGAACATAAAAAGGGGGAAATATATGAAATACAAGAAGAAAAAAACAAAAACTATATCAAAAACTAGAAGAAATTATAATATAAGTTATAAGGCCTGAGCAACTTAAAAGGGGAATGAATTAGGTTGATTATAAAGCAATTCAAAATTAAACGCACTTTAGCTTAATTTAAATTTCTTAAAGCAATTCTTTCTTAATTGTTTTTTTTATACATAATATCCTATTTTGTTAATGTTATAATAGTAGATAATACAATTTTCACAAGACAAACAGCATCTCTGTCATGGACTAGTTGAAAATTTTCTTTTGATAAAATTTTCCAAATATTTGTACTGAATCATTTGCAAATAGAAATAGAAAAGAAAAATCTTGAAAAGGAAAAAAATTAAACTCATCAAAATGAAAAAACTCTTATGAAAGTTGAAGCTTCTAACTTGCTTATAAATCAACTAAGATTATAACTTGATGATAATGGGGAAGGCTTGAGAAAAATTTTGTTATGGGTATTTGATTTGGAGGTGGAAAGGTTACAAAGAAAAAAAAAGAAAAAAAAAAGGAGAAGAAGCAGAGACAGAGAATCGAGGATAAGGGAAGCAAAAGCAAAAGGTTTTGTTTGGTGTCCGTGTCTTAGTGCTAGGGTTTCCTTTTGTTTAATTTGATTTTAGTTTTTAACTTAAGATAAGTAGAATTGTACACAAAAAAAAGTTTGTCCTGTGAACGTAGTCCAGCGGTAGCAAGCTTTTGTTGTGATTGTGAAGACCTGGGTTCGAATCGCAAGAGCTCCATTCTTATTATTGGTTTGAAATTTGTGTGCATATTTGAAAATTTTTAAAAATCGCCGGTTTACGTTCGAACGGTTCAAACGGTTCGCTCGATTTTCAACGGTTTTTTATTACTTTACGGCTTTAACACTAGATCGGACCGGTAACATGTCCGGTTCATGATCCAACCGGCCGATCCGGTCCGATTCTGAAAACACTACCGACAAGTCTGCTAAATAATCATTGATTGTTGAAAGTCCGATATTGTGCTATGCGTTTGATCTTTTCATCCGACAAGCATTATTGCTTCTCAATTTTTTTTGATTTGTTTTTCTCCTTTTTCCATTTGACAAGATACCCGTCCTAAATCATTTTTCTTGTAAAATATTAGTTCAAATCATTATTTTTTTATTTTATTGATAGTCAAGGTAGGTGTCAAAATCAAGTTTAACACAAGTCAAAGCACAAAATCAGACAATCAAAAATGAAAGAAAGCCCAAACAAAGAAAGAAAGTTGAAAAACAAAACATTGGAAACGCTACTTGGAATTTTGGATTACGATCATTGGAATGGAAGAAAGATAATGTCGGCTCCCATAGCAACAATTCTTTTTTTTTTTTCCCATCCAATAGTCTCCAAACCATATGGGTTGACCCAGTAGTCAAGGGAAGTTTTCAGAGTGTACTTGATTGTCAAGTTTAGGAATCGATTCCTGTGCCCACAGTTGGGTCTAGAGAGGGGTGAGAGGGTAAAAAAAATAAAATTCATGAAATCATTTCCACGTCGACTTTAGTTGTGCCAGCATATGGTTTTCTCTATTTTCTAAATCTCCTAATATTAAACAAGTTACATGGTAATTGCATAGAATATCTGAAAAGCAATCTGATCTTTTAAAAATAATATGGAGGGGAGATCACATTCATCAAAACTATTTTCTTAAAGATAGAATTTTGACACGTGAGGTCAGAGTGCATTAAAAATTAACGAGATCCTCTCTGCAAAAGCTGAAGTGCTAAATCAGTAAAATGAAGAAGTATATGGATTGCTCAGCAGAAAACGTCATCCAGCTTCTTTGATTTGTCATTTTTACCTGTTTGAGCTTTGAACAATTAATCACATTAATCGGAAAATAAAAGATAAAACAGCGTAGAAAAAAGTCCAAGAAAAATTACTCTCTTAAGACTTCCGAAAAATGATTGCTAAGTTGAAGAATGCAAAGAAACATGTACGGCTAATAAATATCCTCCTTTTATTCCTCAATGATAAAATGTTTGACCTTTGTATTCGTTCGCCAGATCTTGTTACACATGAAAATATAATCACGTTCACACAAATTTACCATTTTGTTACTATGCACTTTCTCTATTAAAAAGTAACACAAATTAGATCTTTTTTTTTTTTGGGTCTACACTAAGTATTTGTTGCGTGAGATTTTTATCTAAGATAAACAGAAGCAAGTCAAAATCTCTTGTCTTAGGAAACACATGAAAGGAAAAGAAAAGTAAATCTCGCATACATGCTTCTTGTCTGGTGATTTTGAGGATCATTTCAATCCGTAGCAGCATTGAAGAAGATCAACATCAAACCAGAAAAGAACATGGAGAACATTTTACAAACAGATTATGATGGATCATAAAGTATAAACGCTAATAAACATCAAACCAGAGAAGAACATGGGGTATATTTTACAAACAGATTATGATGGATATAATGTTGGATTGATAGAATGCATGACTGCGCTTGCTCCTGCAATGACAAAGTAATACAGCTGCATCAATTTCAAACCAAATAATTTGGAAGCTCCAGAAATTGCTTTAATAAACATGAGTTATTAGATCATCCAATTGATTCAACGTATGTATAGACTAGGAGGGGTTCACCGCGCAAGTGCGCGGTGGGAAAATTTGAAAATGTATATGCCCAGGTAGATTCTATTAACGGAGATAATCGAGAAAGGCAAGAAAGCGGAATGAAATCAGACAATAATACATAGAGCATATAAATTGCTATAATGTAGTTGCAATAACTCATAACAGATGGATGGGGGAATAATAAAAAAAGTTCAAAGTCTAGCAGCCATCTGGCTAGAAATAGCTTAAAAATTAAAGGCAAGCGAAGAAAAGCTTAGTTGTTGATGTTAAGGCCATTGAAGTTGATGTGATTGATGTTCATGGGTTCATCCATAGCGTATGAAGTAATTATTTCATAGGCTGCACATTTGATGCCGGCGAATCTGGAAGAGGAAGGTTTAACGTAGAACAGTTTTGTCCTTTTTTTGCAGAGTACGCATGAGGTATGAAGCTAGATCAATTTTCTGGGTCAAGAAAACGAAGGGAAGAAATTAGTGTAAAGAAAACATAAAGGAAAGAAAACACTCGTGACTGGATAGGGATGAATAGGCACCTGTTCGTATAAATAATGGAGTTCAGCAGTTGAGTAGTTAATTAAATTTTCAGCTTCAGTTCCCATAGCAGTAGCAGCCAATGATCCGCTTGAATCAGCAATGAAAATGGTAATACAAGCTCTGTAAGGGAGAAAATGGTATAACAGTTATGAAAAAGTATGGATTTCATGAATTCATTGAGTAAAGTGATTGTATGCACTGAAGAGCTTTAAAAACCTTGGTAAGAGTTCAATGTTAGCCTGACAGTATTCGCATTGAACTATCGATGTGCCTGCAAAGCTGTTTGGTTGATGACATTGGGGGCATGCCATATAGAATAATTTTTGGGGCCTAAAGGAAATTTCAATGATTCCTCTAATCCATGCAGTAGTGGTTCTCTGTAAAATAATAATAATAAGGATAGAAGGGAGGTAAACATGATTTATAGAATATAAATAGCAACAAGACAGTGACCTGTTGAAGTGCAGCACTAATACGAAGAATTCTATTATTGGCAACAGGAGGGAGAAGAACTCGCGGATCAGTGTAACTTCCATTATCAATTAGCTTGTCTATTGCAAGTGCATGACTATGGTACCTGATATATATAAAATGGGAGAAACGGTCTTTAAGTGGCTCAATGTAAATGGGAAAGCGGTGTATCATATATTTAATAGTTCTGACCAGAAATCAAGATGCATTGCTTGTTGCAAAAATGGAGCCACCGTAATGGCTGAACAATAAGAAGTTGAGAAGCTCAGGTCTGGTATTGAAATAAAAAAAGTGTTAAAACCAACAGCTTTCTAAGAAACATATGCATTTAACGTTCTTGAAGAAAAAGAGAGTAGTATATAGCTACAATTGTTTGTTGTCACCCTGATTCTTGTCGCAATAATGATGGGAAAATGGCGCCCAGGAGCTCTAATGATGGGACCATCCAGTTCTTCGAATTCTTTCCAAAGGGTTAGAATCATTGGTTTCATACTGGGAAGAAAAAGAGAGTATAAAGTCTAAGAACCTTTTCTGGAATCAAAAGCAACAGCCGTCGCCGGCAACAGCATCAGTGCATACAATCATCAGGTTAGAATCATTAGTGCTTTTTTAAGACGGCAATGCATCACGGCGACAGCATTAGCATCCGCCCATCTTTCCTTTTCTTTGCAGCATTAGCATCACGGCGACGGCGCAAAAGCTCGGCCTTTTCTTGCTCTGGCATTTCGGCATAGCGTTTACGACGCCTTGAATTCCTAACCATGTTCTTAGACTGGAAGGCTGAAGAAGATAAACTAAGCCCAACAACCAAAGGAAAAATGACACAGCAACACCCAGAGTGCAGAACAGGCAAGAGAAGAAATGGAATAGATACAATCACACAGCAACAAACACAGAGGCATGCAACAGAGGCACAGAGTAGAGGACAAAACATTTTTTTTGTAGCAAGAAATTCGAGCACAGGAGAACAATAATAAAAATATGTAGAGTAGAATGAAAGAGCACAAGGAAGAACGAATATGCTTAAAGTTAAAGGAAGGAACAGGAGATTAGAATAGTTTAAAAACCTGAACTGGCTCAAACAAGCACTGACTGGAAGCACACGTCTCCAAAGCCAAAAGGGCACCAGGTGAAACAGAACTGGCGCAACACACTGCCACAGCTTCCAGAAAAACAACGAAAGGTTTAGCACGCACACAACAGCAGAAGCAACAATGAATAACATGGAGAAAGAAGATAAGAGCAAAGAAAATAGACAAAAAAAAGCACAAACAAGCATTACAGCGAACAAACAGAGTGCAAAAAGGAGAAGGATGAAAGAAAATGAGCAGCGAACAAGGCAAGGTTGAGAGGATGTAAGCGACCAACAAACAAACGAAGAGAGCTAAAAGCCGAGGGAAAATGATAAAAAAATGGCTGCAACGAAAACAAACGCGAACATGCACAGCATCGACGAAGGCAACAACACAAACCCGCATTTAAAAAAACCAGAGGAAGGAAAAGTAAGGAGCTGGAGCTGTGGTTGTGGAAGACAACAATGCAACAGTAACCAGCTACAAGCAAAGGAAAAAGACCGGGAACATGCAGAGGAAATTTAAAACATAGAGAAAATGCAGAAAATCTCTGGAAACAAAAGGAACATCACCATACACAGCATCAGTGCAGCATAAAAAAGCAAAAGGAAAAAGACTAAGAACCTGCAGCTGCGTTTATGGAAGACGGCAATGCAACAATAACCAACTCCAGAGCTAACAACCAGGAAACAAAAAGAATGTAAGACAAACAGAGCTAAAAGAGTACAACACAAAATTTTAAAAAGCAAAAGCAACGGTGAAGACAGAATACACTCACCATAAGCACAGCAAACAAGCGATAGCAAAAAGCAGCGAACAGAAGACAGAGCAATCAAAAGCAAGCTAAATGGAACCCAAAAAGAAAGATATCCAGCAGAAACCGACCGAATTACCCAACGGTTACGAGGTTTCCTAGCATGGCCGTACAGGGATTAAATGCCTCGTTCGTAAAAGCCGAAGCAAGTTGAAGATTGGAAATTTGGCGGTAGAGGCCATTTGACACAGATGGGCACACCCGCAGAGATTATTACCAACAAATACAGAAGTAAAAAAACAGGTAAAAAAAACAAACTCTCAAGGAGCAAAACGTAATTTCACCTCTGACCAAGAGGCTGTTCTGCCGCTAATGACTAATGATGACTATGACTAATGACTAATGACATCAGTTCATTTGTTTTGGGGAAAAATATATATATATATATATATATATATATATAAACCATGCAAAAACTACCTGTCTTAAAGAAGAAGAAGACTACCTGGTACGGGAAGCTGACATCATAACCAACGGCCAATCCCTACAACGCACATGGGCGGACGACCATCCAACGTGGCAGGGGGCGGTTCCCTCTTTATCTATATGGTTGATGAAGAAGTGACGTGAGTAATTATATACCATTGAACTAATTTAACATACGCATACAACTATATCTAAACTGATGAGCTGAATGATCACACCAAATCAAGAACAGACATGAATGCTTCAATCTTTACACCAAATCTGCTCTGGAAGAAGGAATAATTGCAGTATTACATCAGTTGAATGAAGAGGTATACAGAACATCCAACAAAAAAGGTCATCTGGTTTCTCTGATTTGTCATTTTGATCAGTTCGAGCAATTTACCACTTAAAATGGAAAATAAAACATGAAACAACATAAAAATGTTTAAGAAAAATGGTTTCCTCTAGACTTCAAAAATATTGCATAGTGAAGAATAAAAATGTTTGTACTTCAGCATATTGCAGTGAAGAAAGACATGTTTTCAGATATTTAAAGCTATTTCAATGACACATGCTTCTCATATAACAATGTTATGCAACTTATAAAGGTCAAGTATTGACACAATTTTACAACTGGGTACTATGCCTTTCCTTTTTGAAAAGTAACACGAACTACAGTATGTTTCAACATATCAATCAGTTGAGTTATGGTTTTTATTGAGGAAAAACAGAAGCAACTTACACTCCTGTATTACTTACATACCCAAAGTGGGAGCAGAAAAGTGTATCTCGCATATATGCATGGAAGAAGATTTCACAAATTTGGGTTATAAATCCTTAAACAAACATTATTCAATATTGAAACAGATTGTGCTAGCTAATGTTGGTTTGGTTAATGCATGAATGTGTTTGCCACTGCAATCAGAAAGTATATAGCATCATCGGGTTCAAACAGAAGAATTTGGAAGTCTCCAGAAATTGGTTTGAGATATAAATGAATTAAAATATCAATGAACTGATTCAACATATAAACAGATGAAAAAGAGACATTGAATCATTATATATAGGGCTGTCAACGGTCCGGGTCTGGACCCGGACCCGGACGAATTTGCCGGGTACGGGTAGGTATATTGTTCCGAGACCCGGACCCGGACCCGGACCCGTTACCACTTAATAATTTACGGATCGGATACGGAATATACCATTCCGACCCGTATCCGACCCGGACCCGTTTTTAATTAATTAATAATTAAAAATATATACCTATATATTACTACTTTCGTTCCCAAATTTATCCAACCCTAACCTACCCACCGCCGCACATCTCTTTTTCCCCTCACTCTCTTTTCTCTTTTGCTCTGCCGTGACCAGTCCCGCCTCACATCCCGCCTCCGCCAGCTCTTCCAGTCTCATTCTTCCCTCTTTTCTACCGGCCTCACATCCTCCCCTCTTTTCTGACCAGTGACCAATCCCGCCTCACATCCTCCGCCTCCGCCAGTGACCAGTCCGCCGTGAAACTGGCGAGCTCTCTTCATCTCTGATGCCTGACGGAGTGACAGTTGCAGCTCCAAAGAAGCCCAACTCTTCCAGCTGTTGAGGGAAAATTTCACGGTTGGCAAGCTGAAAAAATTGGAGCTTTTGCTATCTGCCTTGCCTTCATCTTCCGAGGCATAATTGCTTTAAGGTATTGCCGAACCCACCTTATGCGGATAGTAAGGGGAAAAAAACAAAAGATTAACTTAAATTGCCCTTGTTTTCTTGGTTTGTGATTTCGCTGTTAAATTGAACCATTTGTTTTTTTTTTCCTTTGGCAAAGATATCCACGGCATTTCAACAAGAAGGGACAGAATAATAGCAACAGCAATGGTCATTCTAGCTGTTGTGACAAGCACCATAGCTATTTCTACGAATATATACAAGTTAGTTGGAAACAAGTCATAGGTCTTTGTCTTTTTCAGCTTTGTTGTGGTTGAGTTGTATGTTTTCCTGTATAATATCAAATGTGGGTTGTATTGTTTCTGACAAGCACCATAGCTCTTTCATTTGTAATTTTCGGCAAGAAAAGTTCGATTCTGCTTCTTCGGCAAATTAAATAACTTCCCTGATTTCGCAAAGGCTTGTGTAGTCCGCAAAATGTGATAAAAATCAGACTGCATTTTCAGGCGCTGAAGTTGTATCAAAAACAGGTTTTCTCGGGCCTTTTTCCGGGTAGGCCCGACCCGGATCCGAGACCCGTCGGGTGCGGGTCTGGTAGATATATTAAGAGACCCGTCGGGTATTTGGGTCGGGTCTGGAAGTAATGCAGTATAACGGGTCCGGGTCCGGATTTATTAATTCCGGCCCGGACCCGACCCGTTGACAGGCCTAATTATATAATTGAATTGAATCAGCATATGCAAATATAATTTTACCTGAACCTGATGACTGGAATCCCACTGTACGTTCACTCCCACACAGATCAAGTGCGATGAGAGGAAATAAACTCTCATCCTGAGGAAATCTCCTTTGCTTCTGAGGGAATTGACTCTACTTCTGTGAAATTTGACTCTTCTTCTGAGAGAATTGACTCTGCTTCTGAGGAATTCGACTCTTCTTCATAGCGATCTCCAATTATGATCTTTAGAACCTCATTTTCCATATCCATCTGTTCTTGCTGAATTTGCTTTACAGAATATGTGACAGACTTGCGACACCCTTTCACTTCAATAATTTCAAGAGTTAGGCATTCCCCAAGACAAAAAGGGATCTCTTCCAGCTTCTTACACTGGTGCACAGCCAATTTCTCAAGATGGGGAAAATGATCAGAAGATGCAGTCCAGTTGCCAATGTCCAAGCAGGACAGTTCCAAGACTCGGAGGTTAAGGAACTCCCCTTCTTTCATTTCCCATTCTTCTCCGACAAAGGAGTCCTCGAGTAATTTAAGCACTTCAAGATTGGGCAACATTCCAATTGTCGAGATTTCATTCCATGGCTGACTATTCCGTGAAAGAGCCAACTTCTTCAAATTCAACGGGAATTTAAATCCATATCCCTGAAAATCAATCAAGTGAAGTGATTCTAGTTGACTCATACAGTCAAACACAAGAATCTCGTTGCAATTTCTGGTAGCTTCTCTTGACTTGTAGGGTCTCATACATTTTAGCCTGCGGATGCTTGGTAACTTTGTCAGGATCTTTTGCAAGCTTTGAGAGGAGGGATCAATGGCAAGGTTTAAAGTGTCTAAATGATCTAAATATGGGGATCCTTCAAGATTTCCATCTGTAAAAATGAAACCACGAGTCCTATGTGTAGTACGTAGATAACTCAATGTCCTAATCTTCCAAATAGTATCCGGCAGAACAATTTCGGTAAACGGATATTTTACAATATGAGTTTCTAACCTTGAGAGGTTGGCTATTGCAGATGGGATCAATGTTACTTTATTAAGCACCAGGTATCTCAAGTGAACCAGCAGCACTACTTCCATGGGAAATGATTTACGAAAGTTCAAATCCCCCAAATCTAACACTCTAAGAAGTTTAGGTAACAAAATCCCCAAATCCTCCTCTTCAAAGTGATCGCGTCCAAACAAGATCAAACAGCGCAAATTGGGAAAAATTAGCATCGACTCCCAAGTCTTCAATTCCCTGGTATTGTGAACACAAACTCGGTGGTGGTTGCATGGTCTAGTAAGACTAAAAGGGTCTATCCAACTATCAATAATATGCAGAAAACCTTGTTCTTTGGCTTTTTCCACACAAAACTCATGTACCAAATCATGAATTTGGCAGGCTTTGGCACCACCCATAGTTCTTTGTCTGGTAACTATAACTAAACTGCTATTAATTAGAGCCATCAAGTAGTCGTAAGCCACTTCCTCTAACCTTTTTCCTTCAGTCAGTTGCACGAATCCTTCAGAGATCCAAAGCCATAACAATCTTCGGACATTAATAACCTCATCTTCTTGAAATGCAGCAAAGTATAGAAGGCATGGATTCAAATAATCCGGTAAGTGACTATAACTCATCTCAAGTGTCTTCATGATGTATTCACTGTCAAGGACAATGGGACTTAGAAGACTTTTTGCAACTTCTTCCCACCTATTTTGCTCAGTATTAGCTAGAATTCCAGCAACAAGGACAACTGTAAGGGGTAAGCCGCTGCAAGCTTTTGCTATTTGAAATCCTACTTCTCTTAATTTTGGAGGACAACCTTCTTTACCAAATAGCTTTTTTTGTAGCAAGGTCCAACTCTCTTCATCAGTAAGATAGCGGAGATGGAAAGGCACGCTAGCATGTTTGATTTGCAAAGACAAATCCTGAAATCTACTGGTAAAGAGAATCCTGCTTCCATTGGCATCATTCGGAAATAATCTTTCCAACAAATTCCATGCCTCAACATCTCACAAATCATCCAAAACAAGGAGATATCTAGTTCTCATCAAAACTTGCATTAGCGTATCAGCCAAATTTTTTTCATCCATCTCAAGATATTTGTCAGAGCTCTTAGAAGAAATACTACACAAAAGTTGAACTAACAAACCGTGCATGCTATACGCTTGAGAAACACAACACCAGCCACAAACATGGAAATGTGACCTGACTGAAGCAGCAGTATAAACTTTATTGGCTAATGTGATCTTACCAACCGCAGCCATACCCACGATGGGAACAACATCCAACTGCATTGATCCTCTCATAAGTCAAAGAATGATAATTCTTGCCTCATCCTCATGACCCACCAGATCTTTATTGTGTATGGCAGCAATAAGTTGTGGTGGTATGTGAGTGGATATCTTGTTAACTCTCTGTGGTTGACCATTATGGATCTCTAGGCTCTCAATCTTCAGAAGATTGATATCTCTAGCAACAGCATCCAAAGAATCTTCACATTTATCACCAATAAGTGTTGAGTCAATCAGTAACTTTGCCTTGTAAGTAGCCTCCATAACATGACTCCAGAAAGCTTGAAGTTTTCCATCATGATAGCGCTGATCCTTGATATTCTCCAGGAAAGATCTCAAGAATATGAGATCTTCCTGGACCATTTGGATTCTATCCAATGGGAAGACAATTGAATTCTCAGCCTCATCACACCTTGGTAGTTCCTTGAGATTTTCTAGGAAAAAATCCATACAGCCCAACTCATTGGATCT